AGAAAAACAGGAATTAAGGGGGGTGGGGTGGAGTGGTGTATACTTGTACGTGTGTGAGAGTTTAAGTAAGTTCTGAAGTAAAGCCAGTCAACAAAACATCAACTATTACCCTCCCTTCATTCTGATCTGCCCACCTCAAGAGGTTTGTCAGGTCTAACCCAGTTCTGAACCTTTGCATCATCTATTTTCAATTGCAAACTTCCCACATTAATAAAGTGAATCACAAATGTGAGCATGCTTTATATTTCAATCTTCATGAGTTGCTTGACTACATCTGGAAATCTTTAAAGTTTAAAGTTTAGTTTGTTGGAGGATTTTTTTGAAACCAAAATCTTTCATCTATTATTTAAAGACACTCCAGAAGAGCATTTATTTGTTTCTGTACACTATGTAGCAGCATGCTTTAACTAACTGCTATGTTTTTCAAAGATAAGTCATATACATTGATCACACCATAAGGAGAACTGGATTTTTGTAAGTATAGTTGCATATTTCAAATTATTACTAAAAATGTATGGTTTTCCCAAGATGATGAGTTTTCTTTTTCAGAATTATGGTTGGTATATGGGGTTTTCTGAAGTGACAAGTAAACAAAGGCAATTTGGATTCTTCTTTACATACTCACCAACGTTTCAGAAAGATTCTAGATTTCAGAAGAAGTCTCATTGCTGTTAAACTAAATATTATTAAAGGGAAAACCTCTGGAATTGTAATATTACAAACACTGCTTTGCATTTATTTTAAAAAGGGAAACAATTGTTAATTTAAGGCATTGATTCCAAGTACATCCCTTTTTGAGATCACCAAACAGGCAGCTTTTAATACTGCATCTTAACCAGAAGGCCATCAAGCACATGGCCAATTTTAATCACAGTGTTTATTCTACTGACAGTTTAGTTTCAAGAATGAAGTGCTCTGAGCTTTGGGGCAGGAGGGGAGGAATCTAGAAAACAGGGCTTCTAGGATTTTTTTTTCCCCCCCCTCCTTAACTCTCCCAACAGTAATGCCTTTTATTGAAACTGTCAAGAACAGCAATTTCAGGAAGACATCTGTGCCTTTGGAATTGGGGAGGGTCATCATGAAAGCCACTAAAACATCTTTATGATTAAAAATTATTATCGGTACCTAGCACACAGACTGCTCTGAAAATCCATTGAAAAATTTCTATAGACCTTTCCTACTTCCAAGAATTAGTTACGTTTCTTCAACTTGAAGAATGTGAGGTTGGGAATTTAGCTCTCACACTGTTCATGTCACATGTTCTTTATAAACAAAAAAAATGAGCCTCCACAGTTCATCAAATTCAAACTTTATAAATACCAACTCTTTAATATAAATTAAGGATACTATATCTGCTTACTTAATATCCACACTTTCCTGTCAAAATTTCATCACACAAATAAGGGATTGGTCTTGTGGGACACTTTATTCAGCACTACAGTTATTTACTGCTTACTACCAGGGAAAGCAGCAGCCATTTGCTCTGCATAACCACCATGTGATCCAATGTTACTATTTTTATAATGCTGTAACAATAAGTTTATTTTTGTAAGTCAGGAACAGAATTCCTCAACTGCTGAACAGCAGCTTATTCAGCTCCAGTTAAAAATGAGGAACTGGTAAAGTAATACAAATGGTGGGCATAATTAGAAGTCCAGCATCATTTCCATAAGAAGTTTTACACACAAAAAAACAGGCAAAGAAATTGCCATGAGAAGCTAACAAGTATTCCTTACATTCCATTCCCCTCTCAGGAAGGGCTGGGCATTTCTTTCTTAAAGTACTATTTTCTAGCAGTTTGGTATTTACCTGCCAATTCAGGTCTTGTTCATAATATTCAGATATTAAAATATGGTAATACAACTAGTACATGTAAATGACTACTATTGTCCTTCCTAGAGGGGTCCTCATACGCTTTTTAGACAACTAAAAAACTGAGACTAAATAAATCTTTAACCCCACATACATGTGAAATGATCAAATTCTTCAGCTATCTTTCAAGTCCATTAATCACTTCCACTAACAGTATTACTTTCCAAAACAGGCACACATGTGAGAACTTCAGATTTGATTCAGAATACATACATTTTTGTTAACTATTCAAAAGTTAATTACTGAACTAGAATAACTGAATAGATAGGACCTTATTATCACTGTTTTGTGACAACTCTAAGGATCACCTGGAATCACTACACTTTAAAGAAAATGTACAATGCATGTTGAAAGCTTCAAGTATACTTAAGTACAGTACATGGTTTATCTGGAGAATATTTATTACTAAGCTCAAACATTGTTTGAACCCTGCTATTTTTCATTCCAACAGTTCTACATGTATTTTTCATTGGTGGGTTTGGTTTTTTTTTTTAGATTTTGCTATCCAAGTGGGGTTTTCTCCCACTAGTAGAAGTATAGTATAGTGAACTAGAGCAGAGTAAATATCAGGCAAAAACAGACCTCTGCATTCCATGCAACATCAATTTTGGGTTTGGTTTTTGTTGGGTTTTTTTTTGTCAGAATAAACAAAGATCAAAGTTCTTCTCTTTCTACAACCAAAAGAATAAATTGGAATGACAGAAAAGATAAAAATGGTATGGCAAAACCTGCCCCCCCAATTTAACTCTTAGAATCTATATGTCATTTGAAAAGAAGTATCATATGTATATTAAATAAATAAGTAAATAAACATTTCCTGGGGAAGTGGCCTAATATTTATTGCACCTCTTTGTAGAAGCACTGTTCCATTGTTCCAGAAACAGTAGATAAATTATTTTGGCTGGCCTCATGCTGACCTGTAATATTTATATGCCAAGGCATTTATCAACATTATAAAAACCCAACAGATATATTAGTATGTAAAAGGAAGTAGATTTCCTTATTACAAGTGTTTCTTCCTGATACTGCTACATAACTTCAAGGAAAACAAATGGTTACCACAGTCCACCCAGACATTTTAAAAACAATCTTCCTTAATATCCACCAAGAAAGGTCATGGAAATGCTTTTGTGAAAAACAAAACAGGGAGTGAACAAAATTACCTTTTTTTTGGGGTGGGGGTGGGGGACAGGACAGATGGGATGGTGGCAGGGGGAGGACATGGGGATGGGACGAGGACAGGACAGACAGGGAAGGAATACACACACTTGCTCAAAAACCAAAACATTCCAAACCGAGAAGTATGTTCTCAAAGCAAAATTTAAGAAACAGAAATGGAAATTTACGTTTAATCATTTCCACTGGATTAAAAAGAAAGAACCAATTAAGGCCAGTGAAAGTAAATTCTAACTGGATATTTTATGCCAGCATAGTCATCCAGGTAACACAGAATCACTGAATTATAGAATGGTTTGGGTTGGAAGGGACCTTTACAGGTTATCCAAGTCCAAGCCCCCTGCCACGGTCAGGAACACCTTCCTCCAGCCCAGGTTGCTCAAAGCCCCGTCCAACCCCGCCTGGAACACTGCCAGGGAGGGGGCAGCCACAGCTGCTCTGGGCAGCCTGTGCCAGTGTCTCAATGCCCTCAAGGTAAAAAATTCCTTCCTTATGCCCATTCTAAATCTACCCTCTTTCAGTTTAAAACTAGCCCCTTGTCATGTTGCTACTATCCTTGGTAAAATCACTAATACTGGTGATCCACAGTGGTTTCGGTCCTTGTACAGAGAACCTCCACCAGCCAGAAGCAGTTACGCATGGGGCACTTCCTAGGGCAGTACTGGTGTACGACACGCACAAGGAAGGACAAACCATTCCATCAACCTATAAAATGCTTTGTAACAAAACACACTAGGACAGAGGACTGTGGCAAGACGAATCATTGCATCCCAATTATCTAACAATTTATAGAAAGCTGTGGCCTCCCAAAATGATACCTAAATTTTCCACACCAAAACAAATATTTAAATATTTCCACACCATATTTAAAGTAGAACCAAGCACTAAAAATCACCTAGCCTGTTACTTTGGTGCTAGAGGTCATGTCAAACAACTGTTTGGGAGACATGTCATGCTTTTACATGACTCATGTCACACAGCTGAGCACTATCACTGCTATCTGAAAAGAGATGCTAAGAACAGTTAAACTCCCACCATCAATATTCACGACCTAGCACAGAAGTAGGGACTACTACTGCTGCTACTATCACAACACAAACAGTTTTCTTCACATGATGGTGGAACTCTGAACAAACCCCTCTATTTAGAAACCCATATATCACAGCAGATAGCTAAGAATCACTTTACACTGTACATCTGCTCTACAAGAAAGCCAAGAAACTGAATAAAAGAAGGTGCTTTGTAGAACTGAATATGTTATATTCCAACTGAAAAAAGTGTTACAGTTACTGAACTGCCACTCCATCATGTCTCCACCAAAACGCACCAAAAAGGGATATGAACACTGTCCATCTTTATCCATCAGTCTAACTCACCGAAAAGGTTAAAAAATGTGAACAAAAACTGTTTGAAATTCACTGTGGAAGAAAACAACCACACAAAATATTTTTTTTTTCCTTTTTAAAAGACAAGAGTACACAGGCTATGATAAGTCAGCAGGAGAGCTCTCTACTGAAAAAAAGTATATAAAAAAATCCCCAAATGTCATGGCCATAACAGCCACAAATACCATGCCAATTTTCTTCTAATCCACCTAAGTACAGCCAACCTGGTACACAAAATGTGTAATTTAGAAATATTTGATTATAGCTTGCAAAATTAAAAAAGCAATGATAAATCACATATACATTATTTAATTCTATGAAATATCATGACATTAACTTATGCAGCAAAGTTATAAAACACAAAATCTGAAATTTGTCATATCTAATGAGAAATTTGTCCATCTCGTGATATGAGTAAATTAGTATTAAAATTCTGGTATATCTAAATTATTTTTAGAAAATGGTTTTTTTTTTTATATAAGTTTAAGCTCTTACCATAAAAGTTTCTGTTCTGCTGGGATACTAAATGTAACACATTCTCAGCTTTTTTGGTTGACAAGTTCTGTTCACTGTAAAAGAAGTTTACATGTAATTTGAAGGCTTAAACTACTGATGTATGATCACACACTTGAATGAATACAAGTATAAAAACTTCGGCTATGTCAAACTGATTCTTGTTATCATCACTGTCACATTTTTTACTAACATACACACTTTACACAAGGTACATAAGATAGCAGGAGTGGCCCTTTAATAATTTTAACACTACTCCCACATGTGCTGATGCAAAGAAATTTAGGATGACCTGAGTCCTTTCATATGGACAAAAAAAATATACAGTTTGTGACACTGGTGTTCCCACTTTATTTTGGAGACTGGATGCCCACCCATCACAGCTTTACTCTAGAGTACAACAGCAGGATACCCAATATGAAGCACATAAAAAGCAAACTATCACATCAGCCTGCTTAATAAAGCTAGCCAGTTCCCAAAGCTATCAACAATAGAAAAAATGTGTCACCTGTGAGAAAGAACTACTGACTGCACTTTTTCTCACTGTAAACTAAAGAATTTAATTAAAATTTCAAAAAGTGCTTATTAACAGAAATCACCAAGAAAGCATGAGAGTTTTGAATACCTGCCTTCTGTAGTGATTTTTCAAATGGATGTTATCACTAGTCACCTAATTCAATTAATTTGTAGGTTTTACCTAAAATTGCCACTTTGGTGCAGCAGATGAATACTGCCCATGTGGTATTATATGGTTTCCAATTTAACATTAGTATCACTCATGTCTGAATAATACACTTTTCAGTATTAATACTTTACACCCTGAATAATTTAGGAATAGAAATTACGATCCACATACAGTTTAAGACACACAGTACAGAAAACCACATGTGGAAGGTCGGTAACTCTGTGTTTCACAGCATTGCATGATTATTTAAAGTTGTAAGGAACCTCTTCAGATCATCTAGTTCAACCCTCCCTTCCTCAAACAGGATCAACTACAGTGGTCTGCCCAGGACCATCTCCAGCTGGGTTACGAGTATCTCCACAGAGACTCCACAACATCTCTAGGCAATATACCTGTCACTAACATACATCGATTCTTTTAAGTGTAATAAAATTTGGCTAACCAACCACATTTTTGGCCAGTTCTAGTGATTTTACACTTTCCAGAAAAGATTTCGTTCAAACAGGTCAACTGATTATAAGTGATCAATAGGTATCTGAGGTTTTCTAGAAAACTGAATTTCTGAACACTGACTAGTAACAGTATACAGATCCACCTCCTGCCGTTCCCAGTGCCTTGTTAGGGGCCTGTCTGTACAACTGTTACAGATATGATTTATACAGACGCCTGTATTCCATTACACATGGCAAGTTACCCACAGTCTAAAAAACTTGTAACTAAAGAAGTGTAGCAATTATTTCAAATTAACACACCCTACCCCTCAGCAGGGCTTAGCATTGCTGGCTCTGTGCCCTAGCTGGCTCAGTGCCTTCCAAGTAAAACTAGTGTTGCAGACTCTGAGCAAAGGTAAACTTAACACTTAATTGCCCACACCCTTATTTCTAGATGCATTGCTAGCTTTCTACATAACTGACCTCAAGTGTAAAAAGTTCCAAAGCATGTTTTCTTGTGGTTTTTTTTTTTAAAACAGCATATAAACATTAGAACTTATTTTTCTTTAAATATGATCTATGTGAGTTCTGAGAGCATTAGCATTACCTGCAGGAAGCACTTTCTTTAACATTCTTGACATCTGCTGGATTGATTCCTTCAATAACAGGTGAGTCTGGATTTGCAGAGCCATTACTGATGTGATCACTGCTTTCATATCCAGATTCTGTCCTCTGAATTTGCCAGTTATCACCGTGGATTTTTCTCTCTGTAAATACTCTGCTTTTTTCAGCATTCCCTTTCCCCTCTGAATCCAATGAACTTCGACTTCCTGTATCCTGTTTTGTTTCATCTTCATATATAGTCATTAAACCTTTCTGGATTTGGTTCTCTTTTGCCCAATGGTTAAAGCTTCGTTCCTTTTCATGCTTAGATTTACTGTTTGGATTTGCCTTGTGCTTTGGGCTATGCTGTTTTTTCTCAGTCTCACTGAAAATGCTGTCTACGTTTAGTGTCTCTCGCATAGGTTTCCAACCTTTACTTCTGCTTCTGCTGCTACTTCCCTTGTCCCTGGAGTCTTGACTGGTGTCTGTATCATAGCCAGTGACACCATCAGTCCGGGTCCTGATCACCGGTTTCTCCCCAGCAGGAAAAGCTTCTGGTTTATTTGATCCAAGCCCCTGCACAGAAAGCTTTGCTTGGTGAGGTGCGTTGTCATGTTTATAGGAGCCTCTTCCCTGGCTGCTGTATATGCGCTGATCAGCACAGGGTCTGAGTCCATTTCCAACTGGAGGAGACCCCGACTTAACATTGCAACGATCTTCCCCAGTCAAATCTTGAAAGAAAAATGCTCCATTAAAGTTCTCATTAATATTTAATTGATAGCGTAAGTAACGTAAGTACTGTAACAATATCTCCACAAATTTAGTACATATTTCAGAATGCTGAAAACTCGAAAACCCTAATCTTAGTGTGATCTCTTAAAAGGATACAAAAATCTACACAGCTAGAAGCTATTTAACCCATATGACTCTGGTCATAATTTTTAAAATGTACCTCTTTGTCTCCCAGGCTCTTTTCTTGGTCCTCTGTCTGCATCTTTTCGTAAAGATGAGAAGTTCTTCATATCAGCAGCTTTCTGAGCACACTCTCTGGATATGTCCTTTAGCCTGTCCTTTTGATCACTGTAACCTAACTTTGCTGCAAAAAAAACTTTTGGTCAAAGATCATTACTAAAAAGTCATTCATTATCAAAACACACAAATATTTAGTTTTTAATATTAGTACCACCTAAATGGACTAATGAATTACATGACACAGGTTAAGAAAATGAGATGTATAGTATAAATGTATAGGTATCTCCAAGGAGTACACTAAATGGAGCTCATGAAAGTAACCAAAGCAGCATTATGTTAAGCACATCTTACAAACACCTCTTACTTCTAAAATTGAATGCTCAAGTCATTTTCAAAGCATATACTATTTACATCAGGGTTTATGAATTATACTGAAAAAATTAATCCAGGTTTAATGTTGTCTGAATGTGAAGGTTTACTTTTAATAAAACAGTGGAATCACTGTTTACAAAAACAAATCCTTCTATTTCTGAACAGGTTCAGACCATTTTGAGCCATCATTCCATCACAAGGAACTACCAAGCTGAGCATTCTCAGTTTTAAGAAGTCTAGGAATCCAACATTAAAGACAGAGGAGAAACACCTCAAGAGAAGGCAGCATCTCTCTCCCAAGAAGCATGGGGACTTCAAAGCACTGGCACCAACAAGTAATGCAGAAGTCACTGCCTCGCATGACTTCTTATAGCGTGATTTGCTTGTAAGTCTTATGTACAGACAGAATGGATTTTTAAACAGATAAGACAACTTTTCTATCTTATTTGGAAAGAACAGTAAAGTCCATTAATATACAGGACTACAAATAATACCCCACATCACAATACTGTTGGGGAACAGTGTTCCCCAAATAGCCAATGATCCACAGAGCCACACCATGTGCTCCAAGAGATCAAAAAGTTTCTAACATGCCTTTTAACTGACAATGTGATGGGAAGGCACAATGATGTTTGAGAAATGGATCAAAGCCTCAAGAGCCACTTTAGTGCCCGAATAATGAGGGGCAATAAAAAAAATTTTGCATTTACAGTTCTCAAAAAAAGTTAACATTCCACGGCAGATATTACTTAAACATTACTTGTTATTCAAAGATTCAAGTCAATGATGGAATTCTTCCTTTAAAAATACTTCTAGACCAGAAGTTAGTATACACCTGAAATGCATATTTGGGTTTTTTTCGGGGGTGGCAACGGAGGGGGGGGGTGTGAAGTACATACCTGGGCCTCTACCACCACTAGCTTGAATATGGCTTCTACTGAACGCTGAATTATCTGGCTGAAATTTTTTATTACTCCTTTGGTTAGTGGGGTCTCCAATTCCATTCTCTTTCACATGGTCTGATTTAGGAGCTGAATGCTTTTCAAATCCTATCAAATAACATACCTATCTTTAGAAATTAAAGGGTTCCTAATTTAAAGTTTCCAATATCTAAATTAAAAAATAAGAAAACTTTAAATGTTGATTATAAAATAAACAAAATAAAAATCTCACTACATTTCAATATGCTAGGCAATAAGGTTCTGTACTACTTTATATACTGCCATATTTAGAGAGGTAGACTGTAGTGGAATAGGGTCCTCAATTTTTTTCTTCCCTGAAGCAGTCTACATTCCACTGCTACTCATTATGTGAAGAGGAACATGCCAAACTCAACTGGCTTTTTATTTAATTTACTTGTATGTTATGTTTAACAAAATTTAAAAAAAAAAACCAACCCAGGACAGCAGTCCAAACTACAAACCAAAAGAGTGTATTCTTACATATTGAGGTATATGCTATATGAATCTTGGAGAAAAGAAGTTTCCAGCTCCAAGTGTGTGTATACATGTTCCAAATATATTTTGGTACTTGTATGAAGCTTTACTTAAAATATTTTTATAGCCTTTTAAAAGGTATTTTAAATGTATCAATACACACATAAGAACATCCATGTATACAAATATATAATTTTCTTCTGAAATTACTGAAGTTACGTGTAAGCAGTTATGAAAACCTATAATAGAAGATTTTTTCCCCCATTATCCATGAGTCTCAGTTTGTATTCCCTTAGACACAAACCAGTTTTATTATTGAATATATACACTAATCTCTTTTTGAGACCCTTTAGATATTATAAAAGTATTTAAGAACAAAGCAGCTATTCTATTACCATCTCCTTTATAATCCACATTTCAGAAATATAGTTGATACTGTTATTAAAAAAAAAAAAAGTCTTAATTACCCAAGTCTTCCCCATTTCCTCCTGCTGCTTTGCATTGAGACCAGTGAATGATCTGCTTTGGAGCATCTTCTGGGGATACAGCTGTGCCATCTGGGTTAGCATAAAAGAGCAACAGTGGCTGAAAGTGACATCGAATGCACCTGGAGACCACATCTTTCCATTTTGTTCCGATCTAAGAAAAAACAAAAAACCCCAAACCCTAGAACTTTATCAACAACGTTGTGGAAAGAATAATGTATTAAGCAACAGATACTAAATGTCTAATTCCAAAGATACATTAAGATTCAACATTTTGGCACATAAGCTTATATAAATCGCAGCGAAAAGCTAGAACCAGTATTTCATGGACTAACAATCAGAACATTGATGCTATGAATACAGCTGCCAGTAATTAGGTTGTGTTTTCCATTAAAAGTAGTACAAATCCAACAGTAGATAAGTGCATTAACATTCTGAAACATTTGGCATTTGGAAGGCAGAACTATACAGTAGTGAGATCAATTCTAAAATTCATTTGTGAAAACTGATTTACAAACTAAAGTTTTATTAAAACAAAGACTTTTGTCTTAAGTTTAGTGTCAGAAGAATATGTTCTAGAAAAGTAAAGATCACTAAATTTGGTAGCACTAAAACCAGTATTTACTTCTTTTCCATTATATTTACCTCTTTTACATTAGCATCATCAAACAGCACCCATCTGCAACTCTTGGTGTGAAAGGCAAAGGCACAATAATGTCGGCTTGTGTAGCAAATCATTCCCACAAGAAAGAGTTCACTATTTTTGGCATTTTCATCTGTAACTCTATAAAACAGCTGTAAAAATGTTTAAATATTTAAAAATATGTATAAAACATTTAGCCTCAATTTCCACACCTACTACTGTCATTTCACCAAGGCAGTTGGTATTAAATATCCTGTTGCATTATACAATTTTTCATGAGTCTAATGATTTCTGTACTTATTAGGTCTATTTGGACATTTATTTTTGCATAGTCGAAAGGGTAAAACAGTAATGTTATGGACTAACTCCACAAATTTCAAACTGAACATGATATTCCTAGATTTTCAACTTGGAATTCACCTACATTCATCTTTGTACTTAGCCCCAAGACCAACACTTCTGACAGGACTTGTCCTCTCACAGAAACTACATCAAGCAGCACATTATAAAGAATGTTAGAAGTAGATAAACTTTGAAGTTAAATTGTGTTTTTTTTGAAAACACACAGGTATATATATAATTTATGTTTTGTCTATATTTACATATAGACAAAATACATGTAAAAGGAAATATTCTAGAATAAGCAGATTGTAAGTTTTAGGTCAGATACCCCAGGAAGATAAAGCTGTGTTGCCAGATTCCGCATAACCTCTTCTGTCAGGTCAGAGTGTTCTGAATCCCAGACTAAACCAATTGTGACAATCTCAGGGCAATTCATAAGAACACGACGAATTTTTATTTTTTGACCACAGTTACTCTAGAAAAAGGAAGGAAAAAAAGCCACTGTCACAGGAAGAAAAACAAAGATGTTTAAAAAAATGAAAGTCCAATTTGAGTTACTAGACAAGAAACAGTGCAACAAAACAATTCTCCAACTTCTTCTAATTCTCAAATTTAATGATGGTGTTTGTTTCTAACAATTTAAGGATAAAACTCTTCATCATAAAAACACTCTGATGAATGCTATGGCTTAACTTCTACATTCAGTCACCACCTTAAAACAGAAATCTCTGAAAACATCCAAGTCACCATCACAATTTCTCTTTTGTTCCCCCTCCATTTCATCATTTAGGCTTAAGGTCTCTAAGTTCTCGTGTACTTTTATATGGTTCCTAAATTAACAGTATTTACATAGAACTATTTAAAGAAGAGAGGAATTAAGTAGAACAAGCTAAAAGAGACTATCTTTGTCAACAGAAACACAGAAGTATTCTAACAGAAGACAATGCTGTCAAGCTGTCAGTCTACACAAGCTAAAGAAGCTTCACTCAGAAAATACACGTGGTTCCAACTAATCAAAACCACCTAGCTCTATGTTGAACATGAACTGTCAAATAAAACACAGACCTAGTAACTCAACTTTCTGAACAGGCCACTTGCACCTACACCACCACGTTGATCTATAACTGCTAAATATACATTTAAGGGCCTTTTCACCCTAAGTTGGACTGCACTGAAGTGGCCATAAGTATTCCTGGTTTTAGGGGAATATTTTAGCCTGATTTAATATCCTAAGTAGTTCTCCCTTCTATCTTAAAGTAATGCAACATTTTTGTTTACTTACAGGACACTTTCTGTAGTCATCAGCAGTATTTGCTGCCTGCAGCAATTCTGCAAACATTTCTGGCTTGAGACGTTCATGCCTCTCCATCATTTTTTCTACTTCATTACTGTAAAAAATAAATGGAAACAACTGTGGATCTCCCTCCTTAAGAGTTAACATGTTTCAATCAATTCTCAATTAACTATATCTTATGACTAAAAATAAGATACAGACGTAAAGCTGTAGCAATACATACTTTTTGTTAAGCTCTCTCTGCATCCAAATGTTACTTTTGGCCAATATCTCAAAAACACGTTTTAACAAAGGAACACATATTCATTTTTAACACAGCATTCCCCTGGCATGCTTTGCTTATTACTGGAAGGGTGTATATAGGAAAATAAGATACAAGAATAAAAGCTCTTACCACAGGGCTGTGGTAGAAATATAACGCACAAATTCCGTAAAAGGCAATGGGTCTGATGAGGCTCCACAACTGCGACATACACACTACAAAAATTAAGATACTTTTGTTTTTATTTACCCGGGACAGTGGAAACAAACTCTTTTTTAAAGCAATCAAAGGTCTGACCTGTTCATACAGTGTCATAGCAAACTTCTGATGAGAAATACAGGATTTTGAAGTGCACATATCTGTTTCACTGTTTGGCACTAGGTGAAAATGAATCCTCTCAAGGATATTTTCCTAAATAGAAATAATAATTTAAAATATAAACCGAACTGAAGAAGTCAGAATATACGAGCAACAATCACAGTTTAATATTGCAACTACTCCCCTTAGATCCAAATAGTTCACACCTGCAAGTTTTATATGTAGTTAACTTTGTCCCTGTTCACACTGCAGTGGATTGGAATTCTCTTCAAAAAGTTTCCAAACATTAACAAAACAGCATTAGACAACAGTTACCCAACTGTTCTTCCAGACTGCATTTTCCTTTGAAAGAAGCAAATCTTCGAGAAAAATTTAAAAAGCCATTCTGACAGTAAGACGTGATATTGTCACTGTATGCAATGACTGAAATTTTTTTGGATCAGGCCTCTGTCTCAGTTGCTCTTCACACTTTCATGTTCTTCTCTGCATATCAATATGATGATATTTAGCACATGAGCCAACACAAGTACCACTGACAGAAGAAGCATGGAAAAAGCTCATAAATAGCACATGCCTGATCCTATTCTAAGCCCTGCTTTTTAATCTTTAAAAAAAGGAAAAAAATCAAAAAATGTACTATGATTGTCATCAGTTTGGTCCCTGAATCAGCATGGCTATTTTTTTCTCTTTTGCCAAAAATACCAGAGGTAATAAGAACAACTGAATCAGACAGCTGATTACTTCAGGGGTCCGAATATATTTTCGATTCAATGGAGCACTAATCAGAGATTCTTTTTCATGACTGCAATCCATTAACCTGACTGCAAGATCTCAAACAGCCACTTTCAGGAGTTCTTCATTGGATTTTCCTACATATGTGAAAATGCATCTGGCAGGTAGGTATTTATTTGTGGATACTTCCAAAGGATGTCCAAAGCTGAAACTAATCAAAGAAACAACCATATTTTTTGTCCCTCAAATCTGTGTCTGAAGGTTAATACTGATTTTTTTTTTTTAATGGTGAACAGTTTTCATTGTCTAACACAGAATTTCCTAGAAAGGCTCTTTACCAACGGTCTATGTGATCTTGAGTCATCTTTTACAGCCACAGTAATGGCTCATGTTTTTCAATGAGACACTTAGTAAAAGCCAAAATTAATTGCAGCAAGAGTCAAGATCTTCAAGTATTCATTCACTCTTGGATAAGCAAATGAAAATCTCTTCTGCAGAAGACTTCAGTAATGAGCTGGATAGTTGTAACAGAACATATTTCACTAGCTGATGAGAGAATACTTGGAGGAACAGACTATATATTCAAATCTACAGGAGTGTCTTCTCCCAAGAAGATAACCCTTCCCTCCATCCAAAAACTTTCAGGAGCAATCAAGAGTTCATCATCCTCACTGACCTCCTGTAATAGTGATGTTTCACATATCCCTCTGCCTGAGCTACAGAGTTAGAAAAGAAAGTATGAGCAAACGCACACATTACCAGACACATATTCCATGTGTCTGTTCCCCTAAACTGGCATAAAGAAGGTCAGTAGTATTATTTCACTTGTATCCCACCTGTGAGCCTGGAGCTACCAAAACAAGTCCATCCAGCTTGGCATCTACAAAACTAACATAATTATACTGTTATCAGAAAGAATACTTACAAAGCATTCTGCTGCATCGTCCATGAATCCAAGCTGGAAACGCTGTTCATCCTTAAAACTTTCTGCGAGGGCATGTCTCATATTATCTGATGGGAGTGCTTTTTCTCGACTGTGTTGAAATTGTGAAAATATTGCCTAGGAACAAATATGATTACTTAGCTTCATTAGCTACCTGACACTGTGGTTCTACACAAATACATCAGTTCTTATGCAGAATGCCTAAACAGTAAATATATAAAGTGTATAATCTATGCAACTTTAGAAACTACTGTTTTCTCTTGAAGCGACATAGGTTCTATGTTCTGTTACTCATTCCATTACAAGGAGTTACGCTACCAAACTTAACTTTGACCCAACAGAAAAACAATATGGAAGTATATAAAAATGCAAGTGATTGACTTTAGTTCCCAGAAGCAACACAAGTCCTGGTCTGTAATTAAGTAGTTTTTTTATATCTGGCCACCAGAACAGCAGTTCACGCATACGTATCTCATCTTTACAGATGGTGTATATTTCTTAGAGCATAATGTAATACCACTCAGGTTAATTTAACAGCCATCATTCATTAAATGATGTAATCTTTACTATTTCAGACAAGAGTGTGTCTTTATTAAAGTTATGGACATGCAAAAAAATCCCATAAATTAGATCAAATGCTGATAATCCTTGCTATTAAATCAGCTCTCTGCTGAACCAATGCACAAAATACAGGAGGTCAGTTATGTGCAGTTCCAGACCATTAGAATAAATTGTACTTGGATTTTTTCTTAATTTCCCAGAAGAGATAGTTGGCTACTACTTTTCTTTTTGGCAGATACATGTAAGCAGGTGACCTCACCATTTAGCAAGTAAGGGAGATTGATTTTGAAAGAACTTAAAAGTTAAAAGCTATTAAACAAATGAAAAAACATCTGCAGATATTAATGGGTGTATTTGACTGTCAAGAATTCTAAGTCAAATGTCAGAGAAAAATGAAGAAAATAAAGACAAAGCAAATCAAGAGAAGCCATGTAAAATATAAACAAAGATACGAGTTCTACACATTGGCCTCCTGCAGTTAAAAAAATATCTGCTGGACAGAACACAAAGTTACAACAGCTAATCAAAGTTTCATTGCTAACAGAAAGTAGCATTTTAATCATGATGCATTCTAAGGTTAAGTGTAAAATATTTAAACTTCTCTCTCATAACAAAAAGTATGGACTACTGATAAAAATTACAGTCAATATGTCAATGTAAACATTCAAAATTAAGTATTACCAGATCTGTTAAAAACAAGTTAACGCTGCTTTGAAAATATTTAATCACTTCTTATTTTGGCTTGGCTGCTAGGTTATTTCTAGTATGCAACAGAGCCTTACATGTCCAGCTAAAAAAAAAGTACAGATAAGCAGTTATGCAGATATGTATGCTCATTTTAGTGGCCTGCATAGTCAAAGTCCCACCCCAGTGTTATCCAAAGAAAAGAGCATATTTACCTCTCAGAACACCACCAAAACAAAAAGATAATAGATTGCACTAAATCCATTGAAGTAGACCAGAATTTATTGCCTATGCTTTTAGTTTATAGGAGAGGCTGATGGAGGTAAAATATTCTTCTTTACTGGTGAATAAGTAAGAAAGGTTAAAATAACCCAAGACCACACACAAAAAAAACCCAACCCAAGTTACAAACAAGTTACTGAAATGCATCCTCACCCAGCATATACACTGCATGAAAATCAAAATGCCCCGGGTTCTGAACACAGACCAAACAGAATCACTCAAGCACTATCTCTGAAAAGCCAAGATAGCAAAACCAGTAGTGTACATAATGACTGAGGACAGATACTTCCAAATGAGTTAACCACAATGTTTTTGAGTTCAGTACCTAGGCTACTGGCCACAGAGTTATAAAGATCACAACTATACCGTTAAAACCGTAACTAAGTGCATTCTAACCAAACAGGAGCAATGCCACTTCTTATCAGTATTCTTGGGAACGTTATCAAAACGGGAAGACCTAACAGTCCAGGCAATGCAAAATATTCAGGTACAGTAAGCCATTTAAATAAATTGCAGAAAAAGATTCATCAGGGGATTAATAAATCCTTCAAGAACAGTTACTTGAAGGAATAAAGAAAATTTCAAGTCCTAAATTACAGCAGCCTTATGAAGCAGCCAAAGATAGCATATTGCTTTGGAAGGGGACTTAAAGTGATGCAAAATCTATCTTATTTTGTACTGGAGTCCCAAAAATTATAGGGAGAGGATATTAAGTTATAGCAAGTGGTATGTTTAGCCTGAAAAAAAAGAAGCACCTGGTCTTCACAAGTGCACCATTAGAATAGAACAATTCATTACTTGCAGGTTCAATTGCAACATACCACAAGCACTACCTTCTTCATGTTTCTGAGCATGTTGAAGCTGCAGCTTTAATTTTTTGCTATGGTTTCAGCAATTTTAGTCATTAAGAATACATAGTCATAACACATACATTCCAGCAATTGTCACCCTTCAATCCCTCATCACTACCTAAAGGCAGTTCCAATATAGCATTGAACAGGACTGTATATGACCAGAATTTCACATATAATATGGGTCAAATCAAAAGGAAAAGGTTATCACATCAGATATGAACATGAATCCCTATACACACAAAACTGCATGAAATGAAAGCTACCACCCCAAGAAGACACAATATTTTGTCTGAAAACAAAGGTACACCTGAGTTATGGTCTGAACTTTGTGTATTAGTAAGATCATGTGTCCAGCAAGCAGAAGAACATGATGTGCATCAAAACGCTGGTGACACCAGAAGTACCAACAAGTTCTGTAGAGTCAAGAGCTTGTCAAAAGTCTGGAATAAAACCCTTAGTCTGAATTAGTCTGTCTTAGTTAGTCTGAATATGTGTAGTCTCAACCTACTTCAACTTGTTGGCTTTAAATTAGCCACTTTAACCAAAGAAATAATGTGGCACCTTTTAGAAAAAAAAAACTCTATGTTTGGAAAAAGGGACACATTCAAAACCAGCAGTACTATACTGCAATCATAATAAACACTAAAAATAGCTGAAAAAACTACATGGTACATACATTATACGCCTCCTGAAAGATTAAATAAATGTCACTGCAAACAGTTCTTACCTAAAACGCTTATTCAATAACAAGCTTTGGTCTGTGAAATTCTCCAAGAATAAACTCTAAAATACTTGGCTTATCCTTGTCTACAATTTAGGATCAAAAAACAATCCCTCAATGAACTACATTTTCAAATACCATTGTCCCTTTCAGCTGCCTCCAGATGAGTGATTCCCAGTTCTCTATATCACTATATGTATTACCATATTTGACTATACATTCTACAGTCCTGTATTAGAATACCAAAAGTGCCTTTATTATCAAATTGCAGTAAGAGTACAAGGTGTATACTAAAGACACCCCTATATATTTTTTGATTGGAATTTTTATCCCAATGAAACAGATACCATGCTTACAGCTATTTCCTAGTAACTGCAGGCAGCCAAATACCAGTACAGCAGAAACAGTAAGAATCTAACAGAATTTGACATTTGTTTACAGACTTCAGATGAGTTACAAAACTGTTTGAAGCACAAGTTTTATGCACTAGTTAAGATGTGCATATCTGATTTATCTTCAAATACTCAGAAGTTACCAACTTCCATTAGTTTTCCAGTACCACTAGTTGCCTTTCATTACTTACAAATTGAACAATTAATTTCTGCACCATTACCATCAACTACCAAGTAAAAAATAATCTTGAGACCTTATCAGACAGTAACATAGCTACTGTAAAATAACTGTATTCAAACACTACAAGAACAAAGTGTAGGTATGCAAATCAAAGAAAAATAATCTCAAGAGTCTAGCTTGAAATTATCAAATTATACTGTCTTTTAATAGAGAAGTTTTATGTTTAAGTAGACTGTAAAATTTGTATACTGTAAAATTCTTTTAACACAAAAAAATAATTGTTGCAAACTGTAACAGATGTTCTTAAATCTAAATTTTTTTTTTTTTTTTTTTTTTTGTTTGAAAGGGATATAAATCAGTAAAAGATAGCCAAATTATTTTTCCCCTCATTTTGAAAGATGATTCTTCAAAAATTATTTACCTTTAAAGCACAAAATATGCACGCATCTCCCTGACACACATGTCCAGTTAAACCTCTTAAACTTCGTCGAAATATGTCAAGTTGCCATAACACCTATAAAAATAAAGTTTCACAGAGAATAAGTAATGAGTTCTGAAGGTTCTATGTTTAATACAGCAACATATAGTAGATTTTCTTTTTTTTTTTAACTTCACATAACATGTATAACTGGGGTAACAACATTGCTACAAGAATTACAGTCATTTTCCATTAGTTTGGTAAATTGTAGAGGTGGAAGTGGAAGGTTCGCATTCACCACTCAAAATTTAGATCTCCTTTTTAAAGTTTCTGAAACAATGGCAAACAATGTACTTTGTGAGGAAAGAAAGATGAACTCTCACGGACACAAGCAACAAGCTGAACTATGTACAAAGATTGTAATAGTCTTCTTATGGCTTTACATAAGAGGAAGGTGGCTATAGGGTTTACTTAATTTCTCTTTTTCATTCCCTCTCACTCTGTGCTTTCTTCTTTCAAATAAAAATTAAAAAAAACACCAATCAAAAAAAGAGATGGAAACATGGAAACTGAATTGCTAGAAAAATGCAAGAAAACATTTTGGGTTAAGACTGTACTACATTCTTATGGTCTCTTACAAAAATGATTGGTTTTCCACATGGAAAACCATACGGTTTCCTATGGAAAACCATACAAATGGTTTTCCATAGATTGAAATAATCTTGGTGCTTAATCAGGTATGTTTCTACCTTTTATTTGTGCAACTACTCTATATAAAGGTAGTGACAGCTTGACTATACTACACTGCTTTCAGTATCTAATGTTTTAGGTACACAATCAATACATAATGTTGCTCATTAAAAAAATAAAACACCCCAAAATGGGGTCAAGAGGCACAGTAACACAACAGCTGTAAATCCAGAAAACAAAATCCTATAACTATAAAAGCTAAAATGAATTAGGATGCATTTGAAAATGAATGTTCAAAACTCCGTTCTGAGGGTTGAACAGAGGTTAAAAGAACAAAAAGAAAGGAACACATTCCTCCTTGTAAAAGGGCAGTCACTAACCAGCCACTGTTTGATAAACAGCAATAGGTTGTGAAGTAGTAGGATTGTCTGAAACTATAACTAAAAATTACTTAGGGTTTAAATTTAGGGTACCCTACAGGAAAGTAGCAAAACTGCAAGAAAATATAGGTCATGTTTCCACTGAATGAAAAACAGCAAACTCATTCTACTAAATCTACTGTACATTTTTTTTAAACACATTTAGATACCATACACACCACGTAGATGTATCTGCTGTATCGTTTAAATCCATACCCTTTTTAAGGCTTACAGTGTTTTTTAGAAAGTCTGTGCATCTATTAAGCCCTCTGGCATTTCGGCAAATAATTCTGTATGATTTGAAAAGGATCAGATCCAAAAATCTAGGCACTACAAAAACTATATTGTTCTGATCTTCATTTGCACAGCCTAGAAATTCACAGTGGTTGATAATTTCTAGACTTAAAAAGACTATAGTATAAACTGAACTGTGTCTGCAAGTCAGAACACCAGGCAATGTGAAAAGGCTAGTACTGCTCTGCTACAGAATTAAGTAGAACTTCATTTACCCTGTAATAAGTAGGCTTGTAAAAGCTCAATTTTTTTATCATGCTAATGTCACTGCACTATTAAAGGACACTCAAGAGATCTGAAGAGCCAACATTTTTTCAATTACAGCTTATGTAAAAAACGAATAGTGTTTAGGTAAACACATGCAGGAAGTTGTTTGGTAATATGTATGCATATGAACAGTAAGAAGAAATCCGAGTGTTATTTCTTTGGTATCAAGTACATCTCATACTCTAATTCCACAAATCTTTCCTAAGATTAGAATCAAAGCTTTCAAGTATATGTGCATCTTCTGACATGTCCCAGTACCAGACTCAAGTGCTAATCCTGAGAAAATGGTTATTTCTCAAATTTTTGTATTTTGCCAAGTAATAAAACTGCTATGTTTGACAGAAACATTAGTTTCAAAAGTTAAGCAGCAAGTTTTAGAGTTATGAATCATAAGTTTCCAAATACAAAAAGAATTTCTTATATTCTTAATGTATGCAAAGTAACATGCTGTCATTTTTTGCAAAATTAAATATTTAATACTCTCAATTCAGACATGCTGTTGTTTTTAAAACATTAATAAGTTTAACTGAAAACTCAATTTAATACCATTATTTTTCTGTAGAATTCACATACTGCAATACAAATAGTAAAAACAGCATTGCCAAGAGAACACATTCTCCACTATGACCATCTAAGCTGCTACAAAACCAGAACAGTTTAAAAAAAAAACCAAACGTTTTTTTCTTACCTGAACAGCACTATTAAGAAAGCAGCTGTTTTGTCCTGGCTCATTTAATAAGCCTTTTGTAGGGGCCAGGGACAGTATACTTCCAGGCTGATAAACTTTTCCAAGGTTACCCCCAGGTTTTCTCAAGAATTTCACCCATGCCATTATTTTTTTAGACTGTAATTGCAATATTTACACTTAAATATTTAAGGATATGATGGGTGCAAGGCAAAGAAGGTCCTAAGAGAACTGCTCTAAAAGTCATGGCATTCCATTCAACACTGTGTGATGGTAACCATTCATGGGTTTACGTCCATTTCCCATGAGCAGCTGTCAGCCATCTATCAGGATCAGTCTCTCAGTAAAAATACAGCTATACAGAGTGTTTAATTCACAGACTTAAAAAGAAAATAAGGTGTCCAGTTAAGGTTAAAACATGTTAAAAGTTATTAGAATAAAAGTTCTTAAGCAAGTTGCACAGTAACTGACTTGTCCTTCCAGGGATATCAATAAAGTATTACTATAAATCATTAGCTGTATTATACTGCAAGTTTATATATATAAATATATCACAAAAATGGAAGGTTCTCGACAGGTGTTATACTCCTGTTCTCTCATTTCGTTCCATCTTCTTTTTACTTTTAACTGCGACCCACAAAATGTATTCCAGTTTAGAAGACGCCATGTTTATTTCATTCTCTTTGTAGTGAATCTGAAATAGGAAAAAAACAGAAAATAAAAAAAAATAGAATTTTCCAAAATGGTAAAAACCTAAATCAGAAAAGAGATCGTGGCCAAAACAACCTCTTAATCTAAAGGCAGATACAACAATCAGGGAAGAGGAAGAGAAACAATTGCCACCTAAAGTTCTTTTAAAACAGAAAAATTATTTTCTAATTTATTATACACCTCTAAAGATCATGATAAAATTACTGTAAACAATACACAACAGCTTATAAAATGACCATATAACACCTGAGTTATTCTAACTTTGAATCTTGAAGTCTAATAAAATGTTATAGATGGATTCTCAGCTAGTACTCAGCTTTCAAAAATTTGTACTACTTAGTAAATACAACATAAATACATCATCAACCTAGTTGCATTCTTAAAGCATCCAGAAAAACACAGCTAATAGCAGAGCAAGAACATTCTGGTAACAGCCCAAATAACTGATTCCAAGAATTCCAAATTCCAACAATAAGAGTTGTTTCCTTCATTGCTGAAGGTACATATTTAAGGTTAAATGACTCATCATCCAGAACACTGCCACAGGCACATGTAAAGCCCATGCAGTGATCATCTCACAACAATAGATTATTCAATCAGTTTGGCATTACTACATCATCCACATAAACATTTGAAGTAATGGCACATAATAGAGTAAGCTTAAATAAACCAAAGCAATTAAGACTGCATGTTGGGGAGAAAAAAAAACAAGCAGCAAACAAACACACACCAAAAAACAAACAACAGATGAAATTTGGGCCACACATTACAACCAAGATATTAACCTTCGATTTTACAAGCATGTGAGATACTAAAGTCGCATCATCGTACTTCAAAGCTTGCAGCCTTCTCACTACAGTTTTCTTCCACTGTGAAAGCCTTTCAAGATTGGTGAGCAGCATTAAAACACACAAATTTTGTAGCTGGAATACTGTATAAATTGGAAGAAAATTTTCCCCAGCTCAGAACAACCAACACCACGTTCATGTCAAACAGTACTATACCTCTTAAATATTGTACATCAGGGATATCACAGAAACAAATCACATGACTTTCAAAAATACCTGCAGACAGTCTTGCACTCCTAAATCTATTCCCCTTTATTTAAAAGAAACATTGGTACTTGCTTGTATTATCCAAAAAATCAGTAACTGGAACCTAACCAAAAGTCCCTGCTGCCCCATGCATAATTAGATGGGTTTTGTTTGTTTACTGATGTTACTGTATCTCACCCGTAAGTAATTTGATTTATTAATACTGGAAATTGTGTGATTTGTGACAGCACTGATCAAGGAATCTCAAATCTAACCAGAAGCTGACCTTGACAGAATATAGTAAGGTAAATTTGTTTTCTTTATGTTCACTTCAATAAATCCAAAAAGGTAAATAAATTGTAGTGAGTAACAGGAAACGTGTATCAGTTTAACTTCTTATTAGAACCTTAAATTAATTAAAAGAAATATGTGACTT